AAATAGCGACAAACGAAGCCAATTGATTTTTACGCTTAATTATACCATAACTTTAAAAATTCACACGTTTATAACGTCGCTTTTATCAAGGATTCGATTAAGAAAAAAATCTCAAGATCTTAGTCAGTAATGGCGATTATCCACGAAGACAGTGTTGTGTAAAGAAATATATTTCGTTTTATAATCACTGCATTTTTTTACACTTCTTTACTTTAAATATGAATACAACTATTCCATATTCTGTTTAGTGGTTTTGTTTCATTCATGTCCATCTACATAAAACAACAACAGCATTATTTATAGAATTTATCTAGTTAGAACATATACACTTCTCATATATAGCGAATTCCACTTAATAATGCTGCATATGCGAAAAATATCTTTGGGCTTTGGCTCATATAGCACAGCACACGCTTCGTATGATGAAGATCGAGAATTCAATCCCGTTTATATCCAATTTTTAATTCTTCTTTTTGCTTTGCTAAACCGTGTTTTAATAGTGAAAAATTTTAGTAAATACGCCATACTGGAAAGACGAAGTTTATCCCCTAGTTATATAATAATTTTAACGCATCATCTCAGGTAATCTTGCAACGTCTGTCTAAACTGAGGGTGTTAACATTACCAATCACCTCACCAGTAGCGTTAACTCAAGGTCTTAAGTACATCGAAAATATAGTTGAAAAAGTAAAACTCGGGGTTAGAGAAACAAACTACCTGATTGCTCAGGCATGATGCTTTACTCAGTAGATAATACAAATTCTTTATGTACGACAGACTTTATCTAAAAGTGTTCCTTTTTATTAGTAGGATAATTCCAACTGTAACGAAAGTTCTATGGTGATGGTGTGTAGAGTCTGCAAATTATGTGGACCAGTAGTACCTTGTTACTGTGAATGACGTGATGGCGTGTAGAGTCTGTAAAGTATGTGGACTAGTACCTTGTCACTGTGAAGGATGTGATGGTGTGTAGAGTTTGTAAAGTATGTGGACCAGTAGTACCTTGTTACTGTGAATGATGTGATGGCGTGTAGAGTCTGTAATGTATGTGGACTAGTACCTTGTCACTGTGAAGGATGTGATGGTGTGTAGAGTCTGTAAAGTATGTGGACCAGTAGTACCTTGTTACTGTAAATGATGTGATGGTGTGTACAGTCTGTAATATATGTGGACCAGTAGTACCTTGTTACTGTGAATGATGTGATGGCGTGTAGAGTCTGTAAAATATGTGGACTAGTACCTTGTCACTGTGAAGGATGTGATGGCGTGTAGAGTCTGTAAAATATATGGACTTGTACCTTGTCACTGTGAAGGACGTGAGGGTGTGTAGAGTCTGTAAAGTATGTGGACTAGTACCTTGTCACTGTGAAGGATGTGATGGCGTGTAGTCTGTAAACTATGTGGACTAGTACCTTGTCACTGTGAAGGACGTGATGGTGTGTAGAGTCTGTAAACTATGTGGACTAGTACCTTGTCACTGTGAAGGATGTGATGGTGTGTACAGTCTGTAATGTATGTGGACTAGTACCTTGTCAATGTGAAGGATGTGATGGTGTGTACAGTCTGTAATGTATGTGGACTAGTACCTTGTCAATGTGAAGGATGTGATGGTGTGTACAGTCTGTAAAGAATGAGGACTAGTACCTTGATGATTATATTGGTCCATGTTTATTAATTTATTTGACCTTGCTGTCAGCATGGTTATATTGGGCCTATGTATATTAATTGGTCTCTCCTTGCTGGCAGCATTGTTTTACTGGAGCTACTGACAAAAAAAAAAAAAAAAAGTTAATTCGTGCGAAGGAATATTGAAAGTCTAGTTCTTCGAATAGATCAAGTGTACTGGAACAGTCAAATTGATTTAATATCATAACAAGGGCGACTGATGAACAAAGCTTTATCATAGATAAACCGATAAGCCGAGGTCACAGATTAACAAAGTACAAACTGCCAAGTTACCCTTGGTTTTATAACCATAATAATTGTGCTATACTGTTAAATGTGGGGAAATGTTGAAAGTTCTTAAAGACTTTGAAATGAACAGCATAGAGACAATATTAGCAGATGTAGTACAATTATAAGTTTGTAGAATTATACCCAGACTTTTCTCTACTTTAAAATACAATAGACATTGTTACCCGATGAAGAGGGCCGAAAGCTCGCAAATAAAAACATTTTAACATAGAGAAAAGTCCGTGTATAATTCTACATATTAATTTATGTACGTTATGAGTCTTAAACAACAATTAACAGTTTAAAGTTTTTGAAATGGACATCCTAGAGAAACAATTAGCAGGTGGAGTACAGTTTACAGTTTTTGAAATGGACATCCTAGAGAAACAATTAGCAGGTGGAGTACAGTTTACAGTTTTTGAAAAGATTAGTCTGTATTTTATTATTAGAATACATTTCTACTGTCTTATTGCTTTAAAACGTCTAACTTCAGTTAAAAGTTGTTTCAGTAAAACGCAAGATATGTATTTAATTTCTATGTAATAAGATTCGTCTTCAGTTGGAGTTACCTTCAGTAATAACGTGTTTAACAATATATTATTATGTTTGATCTTACCTTGCAGGACCTTTTCTGGGTTTGCTAATGATGCTGAGTGGAAGAAGGAATTTGAACAATTAAAGTCTAAGCTAGAAAATCCTGAAGAAGCAGTTTTATCATACTACTATCGGGCAGTGTTCGATCCGCCTTTCAAAATGCTCGGAAGGAGAAACGAAATCTGGATTGCGAAAAAACAGTGAATGAAGCTAATTCGATTTGTTGCTTATAAAACGTTAAACAGGGAAAATGATTTTATATCTGAACTATTTAGGTCGTAATTATCAATAAAATAACTATAAAAATTTCTTACGTTATTAAACAATATTAGAACAGTACGCTTCTTGTTGATGTCATTCTTAACACAATTATTATGATATGATAAAAATTAACACCTCATTTAAAACAATATACCAACTGTTTCCTAGTTTTCTTCACGTTTGTTTCTACATTTTTTGTCCTGCAATCTGTTCTAAAGTTTCCAAGCGGTTGTTTTAATTATTCTGTTTGACGACAAAAAAGTCAAGAAGGGCTTCTCTTTATAGTTGTCACGTATCACAGCTGTCCTCCATACACTGTCTCTAAAGTTGTCACGTATCACAGCTGTCCTCCATATACTGTCTCTAAAGTTGTCACGTATCACAGCTGTCCTCCATACACTGTCTCTGAAGTTGTTACGTATCACAGCTGTCCTCCATACACTGTATCTAAAGTTGTCACGTATCACAGCTGTCCTCCATACACTGTCTCTAAAGTTGTCACGTATCACAGCTGTCCTCCATACACTGTCTCTGAAGTTGTTACGTATCACAGCTGTCCTCCATACACTGTCTCTAAAGTTGTCACGTATCACAGCTGTCCTCCATACACTGTCTCTAAAGTTGTCACGTATCACAGCTGTCCTCCATACACTGTCTCTGAAGTTGTTACGTATCACAGCTGTCCTCCATACGCTGTATCTAAAGTTGTCACGTATCACAGCTGTCCTCCATACACAGTCTCTAAAGTTGTCACGTATCACAGCTGTCCTCCATACACGGACTCCAAAATTGTCACCTATCTCAACTGTTATACATTCTGTTCTCCGCGTACATTTTTAACCTGCACACGACGTAATGTCATCATAAGCAGAGCTTAACCTAATACTACATAATCCCTAATTCAGAGTTAAAGTTGGTTAACTTCATATAGCAGAGTTTAACCAAAAACTAAATAATTCCTGTATCAGTGTTAAAGTTGGATAACTTCATACAGCAGAGTGTATCCTAATATTCGTCCTTACTTGTTAGAACATGTCTGTAATTATTCGTCCATACAAGTTAGAACATGTCTGTAATTATTTGTCCTCACTTGTTAGAACATGTCTGTAATTATTCGTCCATACAAGTTAGAACATGTCTGTAATTATTCGTCCATACATGTTAGTACATGTCTGTAAGAATTCGTCTATACATGTTAAAACGTGTCTGTAATAATTCGTCCTTACATGTTAAAACGTGTCTGTAATCATTCGTCCTTACATGTTAAAACACGCCTGTAATTATTCGTCCTTTTATGTTAATAAATAATTTTCAAACACAACTAAACAACTCTGCCTCAGAAGTTCAGTGGTCCACACTTTGGGCTCTTAAATGACGTAAGGATTTATTTTGACAATCACCGAAATGTTACAAATTTATAATATTTTAAAACTAAATACTGCCGTAATTTCAACGAAAATTACATCAGGTTCAAGTATGGAAGGCCACTTATATTGAACGTTCTGTAAAGTTTACATATGTTTATAAAAACTCATACCAAATCCTTGTCATTACGTGCAGACCTGACCGAGTCAACCTGTCGTGAGGCTATCGCAGGACATTGACTTTTGGAGTTCAGGTCTTCCTAGTTAATCTGGACAATGAAGGTCATTAACCGGTATGTCTTTTTTTTTAGACACGTCCCTGACTTGTTTTTTTAACCAAATAACCTTCTAATTTACGTTACAAAACGGCAGAACTCTGTAAAGACTTCCTAGTTAGGAAACACGTTCTGGTACAAAATGAAGAAGACGAGATTCAAGGTCGGCTCATGGCATCGCTGTGTGTGTGTATATATACTGAAGAGCTATGTTGTTTAGTGCAGGAGTCTATTCGTGATCCAAGATAGTGGTTTCAAACTGTAAGTATGCTTTTTATAAGTGTATTTCTATAAGGTTCCTTAAGTTCCTTCCACCATGCTAGGAATCCAAGATGCTTTGCAAACTTTACTATAGAAACTCAATGTCGGGGTACCGTTCACTATCTAGGGGCTGGGGCGTGGTTAGGGCGCTCGACTCGCAATCTGAGGGTCGCGGGTTCGAATCCCCGTCACACCAAACACGCTTGCCCTTTTAGCCGTAGCGGCGTTATAATGTGACGGTCAATCCCACTATTCGTTGGTAAAAAGTAGCCCAAGAGTTGGCGGTGGGTGGCGACGAATAGCTGCCTTCCTTCTAGTCTTACACTGCTAAATTAGGGCAAATAGTCCTCGTGTAGCTTTGTGCGAAATTCAAAAAACAAACAAATACTATCTAGGTACCGGATTTTAATAATGGAAAGTATATTGTAAAACGTTCACTATTTAATAATATAAAGTGAGTAAGAAAATTTTCATAGTCTAAGTACCAGATTTTGATAATAGAAAGTAGGTGGTAAAACGTTCACTGTTTGGGTACCATGTTTTAATAATAGAAAGTGGGTAGTAAGACGTTCACTGTTTGGGTACCATGTTTTAATAATAGAAATTGGGTAGTAAATCGTTCGTTGTCTAGGTACCATGTTTTAATAATAGAAAGTGGGTAGTAAAACGTCCACTGTCTCGGTACCATGGTTTAATAATAGAAAGTAGGTAGTAAAACGTTCGTTGTCTCGGTACCATGTTTTAATAATAGAAAGTAGGTAGTAAAACGTTCGTTGTCTCGGTACCATGTTTTAATAATAGAAAGTAGGTAGTAAAACGTCCACTGTCTCGGTACCATGTTTAAATAATAGAAAGTGGGTAATAAAACGTTCGTTGTCTCGGTACCATGTTTTAATAATAGAAAGTGGGTAATAAAACGTTTCCACTGTTTAGGTACCATGTTTTAATAATAGAAAGTAGGTAGTAAAACGTTCGTTGTCTCGGTACCATGTTTTAATAATAGAAAGTGGGTAGTAAAACGTCCACTGTCTCGGTACCATGGTTTAATAATAGAAAGTAGGTAGTAAAACGTTCACTGTCTCGGTACCATGTTTTAATAATAGAAAGTTGGTAGTAAAACGTTCGTTGTCTAGGTACCATGTTTTAATAATAGAAAGTAGGTAGTAAAACGTTTACTGTTTAGGTACCATGTTTTAATAATAGAAAGTGGGTAGTAAAACGTTCACTGTCTCCGTAACATGTTTTAATAAGAGAAAGTGGGTAGTAAAACGTTCACTGTCTCGGTAACATGTTTTAATAAGAGAAAATGATATCTCTAAGTTGTACTGTAGATGTTAAAGTTGTACAGAATAACTTGAATCAAGTTACCTTTAATTATGCTAAACTGTAAGACAAGTGTGTTCCTATAGAAATTATACCTAACTGTTTTACTAAAGATAAAGGATAAAAGTAGGAATAACGTTTATAAGTTGAAATAAACACTTGGTTCGGAATTGTGTAGAATCTAGAAATTTGTTTAAATGTATAATAGAGCAAAGCCTCATCGGACTCTCTGATGTGTCCTCCGAGAGAATCGAACCCTGGATCACCTCCCCCACATAACAGCTTGTTATCAAACTGATTATTTAATGTGGCTACTGTGTTTTCCTAATTAATTAGAGAATCATTACTTGAGGTGTACTATTGTAAAGGAGCGGTAAGTATAAGGTCAGACAGCTTTCAGCTAATGATAAAATCTTCGTTCTATATAACTTGTTTCATATTAGAGACATGATTACACTTCCATAGATCTAACACGGGAGATAATCTGCATTTGAAGAATAAGAGCGATGATGTACACACGAAGGTGACCCTCTCGATCCCACAGAGCTACAGCACCATTCAATACTTCAAGGATGCTGCTTGTCTTCCACCTACGCTGATACAAATAAGTTTGCTTCTTAAAGGTGGAGATCTACGACATTTAACTTTTAGCCATAAGCTATTCCTTGTTGCATTTCACTGCCAAATGACTGTGAATCAAATGTAAAGGCGATGCGTTTCAAGCCTGCCGGTACCTCGTTAGTATATAAAAATAATTCTTATAAGTTGCAATTAGCTCTTTTTATTTTATTTTTATAAGTTAAATTATGATGTTTTCAGCTTTCCTATACCTTCTGTTGGCTACAAAAAAAATTTACATCTTTCAGTGAAACGATTTTGACACAAGAATCAGCTCAATAACAGTTCGTTAGTAAGTTAACAGAACTTCAGCAAGGTACGAGTTGTCAACTATTAACTAGTCTTCTAAATAAGTAAACCTCTGCTTGCCATTGTTTATACGCTTGCCAGAACATGAAGTTGTACACTTTAATCGGTATTGTATAACAAACGAATAAAATCCGTGAATTAGTTGTACTGTAAAAGCTAAAAAAGTGTTACAAAGGTGTATAATTTTTATTAATAATGTGAATATTTCATTTTTCCGCAACTTTAGCAAGTCTGTATTCAGTGTGATAAAATATACTTTTACTGAATATTCAGTTACTCATTCTCTGCTACCATTGTCTGTCTGCAGGATTACCTGGAAAATGAAGGTTTCTCTGCTCTTCGTACTGGCTGCCCAGGTAAAAAAGAAAATGTAGCTTGTTGTGTTCGTTAAGTCTTCTTATCGTTTTATCCATGATATGTAATATCTCTATGTTTGTTTCAAATGTATGTATTCTATGATTTAGTTCACTCTCTTTTACTGGGGAGCATAGAGTGTTTTATCAACAAAATACAAATATTTTACTGACTTATGGACAAACCACAGGTTCTGTACTGTGGAACTCAAGTGTTTATGGACAAACCACAAATCATTGGTTCTATACTGGGGAAGTCGAGTGTTTATGGACAAATCACAGGTTCCATACTGGGGACCTCAAGTGTTTTGTGGACAAACCACAGCTTCTATACTGGGGAACTCGAGTGTTTATGGACAAACCACAGCTTCTATACTGGGGAACTCGAGTGTTTATGGACAAACCACAGCTTCTATACTGGGGAACTCGAATGTTTATGGACAAACCACAGGTTCCATACTGGGGAACTCGAGTGTTTATGGACAAACCACAGGTTCTATACTGGGGAACTCGAGTGTTTATGGACAAACCACAGGTTCTTTACTGGAGAACTCGAGTGTTTTATGCACAAGCACAGGTTCTTTACTGGGGAGCTCGTGTGTTTTATGGACAAACCACAGGTTCTATACTGGGGAACTCGAGTGTTTATGCACAAGCACAGGTTCTATACTGTGGACCTCCAGTGTTTGATGGACAAACCACAGGTTCTATATTGGGGAACTCGAGTGTTTATGCACAAGCACAGGTTCTATACTGGGGACCTCGAGTGTTTTGTGGACAAACCATAGGTTCTTTACTGGAGAACTCGAGTGTTTTATGCACAAGCACAGGTTCTTTACTGGGGAGCTCGTGTGTTTTATGGACAAACCACAGGTTCTATACTGGGGAACTCGAGTGTTTTGTGGACAAACCACAGGTTCTATACTGGGTAACTCGAGTGTTTATGGACAAACCACAGGTTCTATACTGGGGAGCTCGAGTGTTTTCTGCACAAGCACAGGTTCTTTACTGGGGAGCTCGTGTGTTTTATGGACAAACAACAAGTCCTTTACTAGTGATCACAAAATGAAACTTTGTAAAATTGGTGTAGCTTTCTGAAAATATAAATCATATCATAATTCGTAAGATTCCTTTGATACGGAACCTCTACAGCTCATGTAATACCTTTATTTTCACATTTTAAAATACGTTCAATAATGAAGGTTTAAGAAATATAATTTTAATGTATAAGCTACATGTTGTGCTCCTTACTTGGGCATCATTAGAATTTAGTTCTCTTGAATTTTTTCTTTTTTTTTTTGGCAGTGTTAAGTAATGACTGAAATATTAACTGTTGTTTCCAACTGAAATTTTTTCTTTGAATTTTCATATTTTTATTTCATTTTCTAGTTTGCAGTTTCTCTTTCTTGTGATGATCAGTATGTGGAATGTCTAGAATATGAGGTGTTAGCTGAACATCAGGTAATTTGTATTAGCCAAATATCAAGATGATAACCAGAGAATCAGGTGTTAGCCAAACATCAGGTAATATATATCTGTCAAATATCAATATGATATCTGAAGAATTGTGTGTTAACCAAATATCAGGTAAAAATGTAGAACATCGTATGTTAGGCAACTAACCAATACATTCTGATTCAGCTTAATATATGATAAAAAATCAGTTGACTATTGCATATCTGAATATCAGGCAAGTTGTCATGGTAGCGAGTGACATCCAATCATAAGTTGAAAATTACATATTCAAACGACAGGCAAGTGGTCATGGTAGTGAGAGACAGCCAATCATCTGTTGAGAATTACATATTCAAATGACAGGCAAGTTGTCATGATAGTGATAGACAGCCAATCATCAATTGAGAATTACATATCCAAACGACAAGCAAGTTGTCATTCTAGTGAGTGATCAACAATCATCAGTTGAGTATTACATATTTAAATTACAGGTCTTAAAACTATTAGTTATTAGCCATTCGTTTTTAAGTCTAATTATTGTCATTTTATACATATTGAGCAAATCATGAAGATTAAGTTATAAGCCAACTCAATGTACATTGTCACCTGATTAGGATGTGTCTTTTTTTCCAGGAATATGAAGAGCGAAAGTATTCAGCAACAACATGGGTAAGCGTTACTGTAGAAGGTTCGTCCTTGTCTAAAGCAGAATCGTCAGTTTTATATCAACTGGGACGTTATATACAAGGTTATAACTCCAAGAGTAAGTGGATAACATCCTTTACGTACTTGCTAATGCTTGAGACAGTAAACATGTTAGAGAGTTACTGAGTTCTGGTTTTTATTTCAGATTTGTTTATCAATACCACAATGCCAATTCGAACCAAGATAGAAAGCTGTAGATCTGAGAATTGTTCCACAAAATACACAATCTCCTTTCTAATCCCAAAGGGAATTGAGAATGATCCACCTGCTCCTACAGACCATGCACTATTTCTTGAAAAAGAGCCTCCTCGAGTTTATGCTGTCAGGTCTGTTGTTCTTAAATTTACCCCTCTTTGTGTTGTGCTTTTAGAATAAGAGTGATTCTTCTTCAAGTGTGTTACTCCAATTGCAAAAATTTGTGGGTCCTCTTAGAAACCGTAACATATACCAATTACAAACATTGTGATAGTTTTGTCATAATTCTCACTGCAATCACTGCAATAATATCTTGTAGAAGGTGTAACTGTTACCACTGCAGTAATTTTTTGTAGAAATTGTCACAGTTACCACTGCAGTAATTTCTTCTAGAAGTTGTCACAGTTACCAATGCAATAATTTCTTGTAGAAGTTTTCACAGTTACCAATGCAGTAATTTCTTGTAGAAGTTTTCACAGTTACCAATGCAGTAATTTCTTGTAGAAGTTTTCACAGTTACCAATGCAGTAATTTCTTGTAGAAGTTTTCACAGTTACCAATGCAGTAATTTCTTGTAGAAGTTTTCACAGTTACCAATGCAGTAATTTCTTGTAGAAGTTTCACAGTTACTAATGCAGTAATTTCTTGTAAAGTTTCACAGTTACTAATGCAGTAATTTCTTGTAGAAGTTTTCACAGTTACCAATGCAGTAATGTCTTGTAGAAGTTGTCACAGTTACCAATGCAGTAACTTCTTGTAGAAGTTTTCACAGTTACCAATGCAGTAATTTCTTGTAGAAGTTTTCACAGTTACCAATGCAGTAATTTCTTGTAGAAGTTGTCACAGTTACCAATGCAGTAATTTCTTGTAAAGTTTCACAGTTACTAATGCAGTAATTTCTTGTAGAAGTTTTCACAGTTACCAATGCAGTAATTTCTTGTAGAAGTTTTCACAGTTACCAATGCAGTAATTTCTTGTAGAAGTTTTCACAGTTACCAATGCAGTAATTTCTTGTAGAAGTTGTAACATTTATGAGTGAAACAGTTTCTTGTAGAAGTTGTAACATTTATGAGTGAAACAGTTTCTTGTAGAAGTTGTAACATTTATGAGTGAAACAGTTTCTTGTACTATTGTCTTGTAGAAAGTAACATTAGAAAATAATCACTAGTTAAAATGGAAACAGTGAAGCACATTACCTGTTAACCTACTTATTTAAAACTATTATATTTCTTCAGTGTCTCAGATGATTTCTTACAGCAGCAAGCACGTGACAAATAAATCGTATTATCTCTTTACAATATATATTTTCAACAATTTAGTGGAAGTTATTAAGTAAATATTGTAATTCAATATTTCAAACAATTTAGTTGAAGTCTAGTAAGTAATTGTAATTTAATATTTCAAATGATTTAGTGGAAGTTATTAAGTAAATATTGTAATTAAATATTTCAAACAATTTAGTTGAAGTCTAGTAAGTAATTGTAATTCAATATTTCAAATGATTTAGTGGAAGTTATTAAGTAAATATTGTAATTAAATATTTCAAACAATTTAGTTGAAGTCTAGTAA